AACGAGCATCTGCAGCAGATAGAATATTTTTTACAATTTGATTTGATTATCTGTCATTACCTATCTTATATTTCTGAACATGTTATTTTCCATATCTAATGAGGGAGCTATTTTGAAAATCTGACTATTTTAAATCTTGATGGATTCCAATATCTAGACGGAAACAAAGCAAACTGGTGGCTTCTCGTAACTAACTAAGTCTTTTAGTTTCGAAATATCACAGATTGAAGTCTTTATAAAATCTAAAGACTATCTGGATGCACTTATTTTGAAAATATTAAATATTTTAGAGCATGAGATGAAATGACAACTAATGCAGAGTAGAAAATGTTAATCCCTCCACTGCATCCCTGAACATTGTACCTAGTTTCTGTCAGGTGTGTAACAGCGCAGCTCACACTGATGATGAGCCTAATTTTTTCTTTTTAACAATCTTACCAAATAAGTACGCAAGTATGGACTTCAATATTCCACATTCTGACCTGAGAAAATTGTAAGTGAAGTGGAAGAGAGCTAAAATGGTTAGGCTGAGGCCAATGCAACAAAACACTGTAGTCATGTAATTCATTTTGTTCCCTATGAGAAGCCAAAGTGATTATTAGGACAACGTGTCATTTGAAGCATTATTTTAAAAAGAATGGGACAGCGTCCAACAAGTAGGTCACCAGAAAATAGAAAGCTGTTTATTTTTCAGAAAATCCCACTTCCGACATCTGCTGTAACATCTTCATTTCCTTGTCACCTGAAAGCTGTCATATGGCTATATTTCACAACATAACTCGCAAGCAGCTTCAAAATTACAGAGATAAAAGGAAAAAAAATGCAAGTTAGAACCTCACCCTTCTTGTTTTACCCTCCTTCACACGCTTATTGTTGCATAGCAGGGACGCCTTTTTCTTCACCTGAGTGAAGCTCATTCTGAATATGTTGTATGGCAAAATCACCTGCAAGAAAGGAAACAGAAGAAAACAAGAGAACACATGGAGTCATAAACTAGACATCCATTTTTTATGTTTCAGTTATCATATCAGGTTCAGAAGTAGCATTAGGGTGTATCTTTAACAACTGAAATCTATATGCTGTATACCATGTCCACTTCAGTTTATGTCATACATACTTATGGTACAGTAATTTGAAGATTTAGATTCAATTTCAGAAGTCAAGTGCTTTCTCAGCATGACCTCATGACTGTTTAATGAAATATGTGCTTTTTGAATCAGTAAAAGGAAATTTGTCATTGATGTGACCGTAGAAACATTTGATTAACCAAAAAGAAAAAAATGGGATATATATATATATATATATATATATAGAGAGAGAGAGAGAGAGAGAGAGAGAGAGAGAGGGAGAGACCACGACATCACATTTATTCAGAAGTCTTTCTGTTAGCTGGTAAGTTTAAGAACCCCTAGACGGAGAGCAGCGCTCCGTGTGAATAAGAACATTTTGGAGCACTGATGAAGAAAAGGAGCATAAATAGTCTCTAAAGCCTAGCTGTTTTATTCATGTTTGCATTGTTTTTATGTTAACAGTTGTACTGTTCGCTGAGTTTTGCACTTCATTATATTCTCACTCTCTTAAGCACTTCACAATACTTAAACCGTGGATCCCGTAGTTGTACATACAGTAGCCTATAGGCTGTAAGAACTCTCTGCGTTCACTTTAACGTTAATAATGGATCGTTTAACAGACTGCACAAACAAGCATCTTAATAAGAACTCACCGTTGTGTCGAAGAACCCTTTACTTTACATCAAGCCGTCTGTTAGCCAGTTATCAGCGCGCAAGTCGATGTTGTCTTGGTTCGTTGTCGTGGCAACACACTCACCAACGACTCAGTATACGGTCTGCTGATTGGCTCGAGCTGTGACAGACAAAAAAGCAGGCGTAAAGAAGCACGCTTTCTCATACATGGTTGTTTTTGAATACAACAACTATCACGTAAGTTTGTAAAAGCAAGTAAAATGACTAATTGATTAAAAAGTGATTATATTTAATTGTTATTATTCAGCATTATTATGAGCTTTATTTATATGTTACTCAAAGTCTCCATAGTTGTAAAGTTTTTGAATCAGTCACAGTGCATATATATGTTTTCACTTTTCTCTTTCCAGGAAGGGAGAAAAGCATATAACTAAGAAAAAAACTGACAAAAATGATCAAAGAGTTTTGCAAGTACCTCACAACTAATATTCTAACTTTGTTTGTTGGTTCTGATAGTTGGATTTGCTTAAAAGTACTAAGATGGTAAAAAAGTCAGTTTTTACAGCAAACAAAACAGTTGTAAGTAAATGTAAGTAGTTTGTAAGTAATAGTTCCTAAATTATTACGATTATTACTTAATGCTTACACCCACAGTCCAAAGACATGCAGTTAGTGGGGATAGGTTAATTGATTAATCTAAATTGCTCATAGGTGTGAATGTGGGAGTGAATATGAGAGCAATTGGTTGTCTATGGCTGTGTCCCTCCATTTTAGCCCTGCAACACACTGGCCACCTGTCCAGGGTGTACCCCGCCTCTCACTCTAAGACAGCTGGGATAGGCTCCAGCACCCCCAGCGATCCTGAAAAGGATAAGCAGAAACAAATGGATGGATGGATGGATGGGTGGATGGATGGAAGTTTCCTATTAATTGTTTATCTACAGTACATTTATTGACAGTGTGTTGAAGCACAGAACCAAACAGAATAAATTATGTTTAATTCCTTTTTTTCCTATCTTGGACATATTTGTTTAAAGAAGAAAAAGTGAGTACAAGTCAAATGAAAGAGTCGATATTTAATTAGAAAATTGTTTTAAATTGATCTGAATCAGTTTATATCTTTTATCTGTTGTAAATTCTTTTTAATTGGTACAATTACCTTTGCAATGGCAGCACAAGGACAGAGAGAGAGAAAACATTCTTAATGAATACAGTATGTTTGTGTAATTATCAGTGCAAAGAAAGAAGAATGAGGAAGGAGAGGGGATAGAGAGAAAGTGTCCAAGACCAGGAAAACCAGGTGTGAAACAATAACCATTTCACCAAAACAAAAAAGAAAAAGAAAAGCTTGTCTTTTTTTCACTTTTAAAGAATTCATAAATTCTGGATATTCTACAGGAAAGGAAACACAACTTGTGGCATAAATAATTTCAAGTACCTCCTTATTGGGAGCTGTGGTTTGTTTGTTTTTTCTCTCACTCTCTCTCTCTCTCTCTCTCTTTTTTCGCTTTTCGCCGCACATAAGCCTTGTGTTTGAGCTGAGCAGATGGGGAGGGGCAGTAGTTACACTCGAAGTAGCACAGGAACAGAGCAGGAGGGAGAGGGAGAGTGAGAGCCATGGACAACAACAAGAGACAACATCGTCACATTAGAAAGGTACAGTAAAGAAAATGAGTGACACCACAAAAAGAAGCAAAATGTGGAACCATTTCAATTTTGTTGACAATACATAGGCAGAGTGTGGAGTCTGCTAGAAAAGGATATCATACAGAGCCGGCTCCATAAACAACCTGCACAGGCACCTGAGAACTCTCCAACCATCAGTGCAATGGGAAGATAAAACACAGTCAGTTGAGTGTGATATTAATGAAGGTGCTAGTGTGTCTACTACAACTGTTGCTGTTGCTGCATCTACAGCATCTTGCAGTATAACACCACAACCACCTAAACCAACCCAGAGCTCTATTAGACAGTTTTTGCAGAAGTCTGTGATGCCAGCAAAACAGAACCCAATTGATAAAGACCTGGCAAAAATGATTGCACTTGATTTCCAACTATTTTCAGTTGTGGATGATAAAGGATTCAGAATGTTTATTCATGCGCTGAATCCTATGTATGCAATTCCAGGCAGGAAAACACTGTCGCAAAAAATCATCCCAGGCCTAAATGAAAATATGTTTTGCATATTTTAATTTATATTTTATTTTGTTGTGGTTTGCCGTGTTTTGTTTTGTTTCACTTTAAATTTGTGTAAAAGGAAAACATTGAGAATTTAAATAGTTTTGTTTTTTGTATTTTATAATTTATTTTTTACATTAGTAAAATTAGTATTAGTATTACTAATACATTAGTATTAGTATTAGTAAGTGAATAAATAAAAGCATATAATAATAATAATAATAATAATAATAATAATAATAATAATAAAATTAATAACTTTAGTTATAAAGCGCTTTCAAACAAAGTGCTGTACAACTAAAGAGATAAATAAAATAAAAGCAATACATAGCAATACAGGTAAAAGACACAATACAAGTTAAAAACAATAAAAACAACAATAAAAATTTAAATGGTTATGTTTCACAGAATTTGTTTTAAAACAATGTAAAAAATTTACTTAAACCCTGTGAACCCAAATACGGCTGATGAGTAATAAAAATAAAACAAGATAACAAATTAAAACGAGCATATACCAAAACAGGAATGAGGTTAATCAACGACTGAAATGACAGCATGGTTTACAAGGCAGAGACAGAGCATGTCATAAATAGCATTCTACCAATACAAGTCACCACACATCAAAACCACACATTGGCCTGTATGTAAGGCATGCAAAACAACATTTTCTGGGCAAAACTGCCTCCTTCAATTAGTAAATTTTAATTTATTTAAATTTATTAACCTTGCCGGTGTAAGGCTTTCAAACAATCAAATCAAAAACAACCTTTAAGGTGAACACGTCTTAAACCCAACAGTGTTAAGTGCAGAAGATAGGGTAAATAGCTCGGTATTTCATATTTTATATATATATATATATGTGTGTGTGTGTGTGTTATATAAATGTTCCTCTCAAAACTCTTTTTTTCTTTTACAGATTGTTTTCTTTATCCTTTCACATGGCTATATAAATACACAGGCCAAGAACAGATCCAGTTTCAGTGGTAGCAGCTGCACAAACCAAATATTAAGTAGGTGATTTTCTCTGAGCGTAAAAAAAAACCAGTGAGATGTTCACACTTAATATGTCCTGTGCTGCAGAGCTGAGCTCTCATAACCACATCCACCTCCTTTCATGCAATGGAAGAAATTTATGTCAATACTGAACATCTCAAATGGGTGAACCCAAGACATTCAACAAATCGCACAGGTAAGAAAGAAGTCGCACAAATTGGGGGGGGGGGATGCTAAAAAAAAAAAAGAAAATGCTAAAAAAAAAAAGAAAAAACATAATGGGTGTTTTAACATCTCTACTGTTTTACACTTTGTTGGGGTCCCTGATTTTTTATTTTATATATTTACTTATTTTTCCTGTCTTTTCAGGTCAAAGGAGTTTCTATTTGGTTATTATTTTGTGTCTGAGCCTGCTGAGTGTCTTCCTGTTGGCTGGACTTGTCACTTTTGGTTTCCTCCGTAAGTTGTGTTGGTTATTGATATCTGTTCTAATGATCACAAGCTTTTCTTTTTCTTTTTTGGATAGCCCATATTTTACCATATTTCTAATGAAATATCAGTAAACTCAATAATGTTTGAATAAAGGAAGACTCACAAAGTAAGCTAAATAAAACATTTTAGGATAAAATTAAACAGAAGAAGTCAGAAGCAAGAGTCTCAAAAACATGCATCCTACTTTTCTTTGTTTTAGATCATGATTCAAGGAAACTTCTGTCTGCTATGAATAGCCAATTTTCCTCAATGAATGAGGAGAGAGATCTTGTAAATGCAAATGTCTCTGCCATGAGTGACCAAATTTCTTCCATGACTGAGGAGAGAGACCTGCTGCAAGCTGACCTCACTGAAATGACCAAAGAGTTGGAGAGGCTGCAGAGTTTGTTCAACCAGAGTGAGTCCTTGTATGAGCTGTTGTGTGGCTCTTGTTTTAGTATTAGAGGTCGGTATTTTCCCTGGTTATGTATTTTCTCTGTTCGTAGCTTCTTTTTGTAATCATATTCATAGGTTATATTCTAGCTGAGTCTATGTGCTTTGGTTATTTAATATATTATCTTTATTTTATCTTTTCTGTCTCATAGTCATATCTCTATGTCTGTCCAGTTTCCCTGTTTAGTTGTGTCAGGTTTGTATGTCTTAGTCCTGGCCTCAGTGTTACTTCTTATTTTATTTACATAGTCTCTCATCCCATGTGCCTTATGTTTAGTTTTACTTCCCCATTATATTATGTTATGAAATGTATATCGTATTCCATTTGTCTTTCAGTATTTTCGCCTTGCAACTACTCCTCAGCCAAAACTGAACTGACCTAGTCTGCACAGGCATGCCATAATACTTCAAATATAACTTGGCACTCAGACATTTAGGTGATAAGTTACAGCGCTGATGTGTGTGTCTTTTTTGTTCCATGGTTATCCATAACCATGATTTTAATCACACTTTGGAGAATGAACCCAGATCGAGCTAACACCAGGATGATGGCAAAAATTTGGGGGGGTAATGATGCTCCTTAATGATGCTCTTTCAACTTCCTAAATCACACATTTCTGATAATATAACGACAGCAGTAGTGTTAGAGCATTTATCTAAATATTTATTTTGGCTTTGGCATTAGTTGATGTGATGGCTGGCTTTGGCAACAGGGCATCAAAGCAGTCAAGGCATAATTTGTGAGCCGCAGTCAAGCCAGTGACAATTTGACAATTTGATCTCACTGAACAAAATCAATGGAATATGATAATATGCTGAAAGAGAAGTCCAGAGGAATTAAAAGTCTTTTCTGCCAAAAGATCCCAGTTAATTAAATAGAGATCTGATGAGCATTACAGGTTATTTGCTGGTCTGGATTGTCTCTTGCTTGATGTTTCTTCCAGAGAAAACGTGTCCTACAGGATGGGAAATGTTCAGTGGTGTCTGTTATTTCCTCTCTGGAACCTCTGCTAACTGGGATGAAGCTAGACGGGACTGTAGAGACAAAGGAGCAGATCTGGTGTTGATAGAGAGCTCTAAAGAACAGGTACAGTGCATGTATATTGCAATTAATGTATTCATTCATTTTATGTGTTTCTGTTAACCTTTCAAAATTCATTCAACATATCTGAACATAAAACCCAGAAACATCTATTATTCAGTCTCACTGTGGAGAGCAATTCTGTATAGCACCAGGGTTATTGTTATGGGGGTTTTTTTTGGTTTTTTTTGTCTTCTTTTTGCCTGTCCCGTTTGGCTCTTTTGCCATCAGAATTATTGTCTAAAGGCGAAGAAAGATGCCCAACGGATTTTCTTTACCAAATTGACCATCCCAGCTTTGCCGTAATGGTCCATTTGATTCACCTTTTATTCTTTATTTTATTTTCACTTGCTGAATACGGGACAGACTTGACTAGGGGAAAGAAAAGGGAGAAAGAAAGAGGGAAAGAAAAACAGTTGAGAAGAGGGACGGGGGAGAAGGGCAAAAAACAAAAA